GATTCTCACCAATCATTAGTCGATTTGTTTAATCAAATTGGAATTAAGGCATTCATATTTCACACTACGGGTTTTAAATTAAACTCTCAAGGTATGAAAACACTTGTAGTCAATTTTCAAAGACTTCTGAAGAAAAACAACAACACACAAAAGAAATGGAAAAAGTGGAAACAAAGTATAATACTTAATTGCCTACTAACTTTAATTTTGTTTTTGTATTTTTTTTTTTAATAAGCTAATCATAATGTTTTTGTTGTTGCTGCTTCAATGAAACTTTTATGAGTGAATTAGGGTACATTTAGTATTCTTTAACATTTTATTAAAAAATATACCCTACTGAAAGTCGGGCGGTATTTTGGATTTAGTGAAAGAAAATGATTTGGAGATCTGTAATATTCTTCAATTAATTCCTACAAAAAATGCGGAATGTATAAACAATAATTTAAGGTTATATATAAGTATTTCTTCAGAATAGGTGTTACGGCATATCGGTTATGACGACGAAATACAAAAGTCTCGAAAAAAACCTCGTTTACAACGAATATTCGTTATAGCGAGTACATTGGTAGGTCCCAAGAACGATTTTGCCAGTATATTAACCACATTATAATCGTTACTGTGGGGTATGCTTTTCAGATTCACTTTTAATCCAAATCTTTACTGACTCCAACATCTTCTCATCTGTGAGAGGGTATCCCCCTACCACACAACCAATCTTATTTCATAGATTATAATTTAAGAGCATTACAGTTATATCCACTTCGACTTGTAGGCAATGAGCCATAAAATCTAGCCAGTTATTATGCGAATGAAAGAAAGAGCAGACGAACGGACGGACAGCAGACACACAAAGAGCCCAAACTAAACTATTGTAACAAAAGTGAAATGAATTGTTTTTGTTACTATTAGTTGGATGGTTCCACAAGACAGGTTGATAACTGCGGGCTGGCTAGCAACATGGCCGTTATAAAAAAACACCATCGCATAGAGTGTGTCTGAATGGATTTCACGATTTTCCCGAGTTATATTGTTCACACTCAATGAACTGGATTGGTTGGTGGGAAGGCCGACGGGCAACGAAATTGAGAGGGGTTACATTATCAAACATTACCACCTTTTGTTTGTAAACTAGTCGCTATTACAGCGCAGACATTGTTGTTGATAGTAGAGTAAGAAAAAAATGTTGTGTCTAAACACCTTCAATTATCAATTCATTCATTAACCACAAAAAAATAATAATAACAAAAAAGAAAGAAAAAATCCAGTGATGCTGATGATGGAGGAGTTCGGTGATTTGCTAATGCCAAACCAGAGACAAGTTTAGTTATTTTTTTCGCTTCAATTGTATGTTTGCAATAGTTGCCTATTGTTACATATCATTTGATATGCAATTTTTTAAATTTTTGTCTAAATTGTTGCGCATGACAATTAAATTTGATGCAATACCTGACCTCCACATGATGCTTGAGGAATATTCGTGGATTTGGATTATTGTCGGTTTCGATTACGATTTATTTTTCTTTTATTTATAATGCAATAAAATTTGATTTGGAAAATCATATCTTATCCCTGACATGCTTTCTCTGTCAAGGTTTGTGTCTTAAGTCTTTTGTTTGAGGACGTTTTGTTGTTCACTTATTATCTAAACCGTAACACTAATAATAATTTTAAAAATTTGCAGGCGTGGATTTAAAAAAAATATACATATTTTTAAGGGTCTAGTCAGGTGTGTGTGTGTGTTTTTTTTTTAATTTTTGAAAGTGTCTGTAAAGGTCTAGTCAGGTGCGTTTTTTTAATAGCTAGGTGTTGATTAAAAAAATATTTTCAAGACTTAGTCAAACATGATTTTTTAAAATATTTTTAAGGGTTAAGCCAGGTGTGGTTTTTAATATTTTAAATGACCCAGGTTCGGGTTTAAAAAAAATATTTTTTTAAAACTCAAGCCAGGCGGGGTTTTAGACACATGGTTCCTTCGGAGAATATGCATAGAATCACTTTCTGAGACGATTTATGCATGTCCGTCTGTCGGCCCATGTTAAATTGTAAAAAAAGTACAGGTCGCATTTATGATCCACTTTGGATGAAATTTGGTACAAGTCACTTATTTGGCCCAAGGACGAACCCTATTGAAATTGAAAATCGGATCAGATTTATATATAGCTCCCGAATATAGCTTCGTCCGATTTTATGTAAATGGTGCACCAAAGTCCCTATATATCTTTCGATTTGCACCAATTTTGGCATAGCGTACTAAATTAAGTCTACAGTGATGTATGTTAAGTTTCGTGAAAATCGGTTCAGATTTAGATATAGCTCCCATATATATGTTCGACCGATTTTATGTTAATGGTTCACCAAAGTCCCTATATATCTTTCGATTTCCACGAAAGTTTCATGAAAATCGGTTCAGATTTAGATATAGCTCCCATATACATTTTCGTCCGATTTAAGGTAAATGGTGTACAAAAGCCCCTATATATCTTTTGATTTGCGCGAAATTTTGCATAGTGTACTGAATTGAGGCTAGATTGAAGTGTTTCAAGTTTCGAGAAAATCGGGTCAGATTTAGATATAGCTCCCATATATATTTTCGTCCGATTTAAAGTAAACGGTTAACCAAAGTCCCTATATATCTTTCGATTTCCACGAAATTTGGCATAGTGTACTGAATTGAGGCTAGATTGAAGTGTTTCAAGTTTCGAGAAAATCGGGTCAGATTTAAATATAGCTCCCATATATATTTTCGTCCGATTTAAAGTAAATGGTTCACCGAAGTCCCTATATATCTTTCGATTTCCACGAAATTTGACATAGCGTACTGAATTGAGTCTAGAATGATGTGTGTAAAATTTCTTGAATATCGGTTCAGATTTAGATATAGCTCCCATATATATTTTCGATTTTATGTAAATGGTACACCAAAGTCCCTATATAATTTTCGATTTGCACGAAATTTGCATAGCGTACTGAATTAAGTCTGAAGTTTCTGACAAAATCGGTTCAGATTTCGATATACCTCCCAAATATGCATATATATTCGTCCGATTTTACATAAATGGTGCACCAAAGTCCTAATGTAACACGAAATTTTGCACAACGTATCAAATTAAGACTTGAATGACGTTATTGCGTTTTGTTGAAATTGGTGCTGATGAAGACAAAGCTTCCATATATATTTCGAACGGGTGTCTCATTGAGATTAAATTTTTAACAATGCGACGTACCGAATAGCGTGTATCAATTTTGCTATAAGTCGTTTTCCATAAATTACTTTCCTTACTGTTTTTTCAATGGAAATGTATTTGGTCAAGTGTTTATCTATCCAGGCGTGGAAATACAATTTTTGGAGGTTTTAAATAGATGAGGATTTAAAATAAATGTCTTTTCAACGGTCTAACTATGTGAGAATTAAAAAAAAATATGTTTTTTTTTTTTTTGTCAAAGATTTTTAAATATATATATTTTTTAGGGGTCAAACCAATAATATGTGGATTAAAAAAAATCAAGGCTCTAACCAGGTGTGGATTAAAAAAATCAAAGTGGAATTATAAAAAAAAAAAAATTTTCCAAGGATATAACTAGGTAAGGATTAAAAAAATGTTCAAGGGTCCAACAAGGTGTGGATTTTTCAATAATGTATTTTCAAGGGTTTAACTAAGCGAGGATTTTTAAAAATATTTGTTCAAGGTTGGATTTTTAAACATTTTTAAGAATGTTCTTCTTTTTCTCAATATTTAAAATATTACATTTTCCCCATATACGAACCGCACACCTTTTAAACTGTTCTTCTACTCGCACGTTTCACGTGTTCGACAATAAAACAATTGATATTTTGTTGTTTTTTTTTTTAATTATTTATACAGTGTAAAATGTATGAATTTATTCGAAATATGATATCAATGTTTTTTGTTTTATATTTAATATATATAATTCACATAATGATACGTCGGTACTAGAAAAAATATATATCAAGCATTAGTTGTGAATAAATATATATGTGTTTGTGTGAATATTATTATTATTTTGTATTGACCTACATATATATGCGATCGTATGTACGTTTCTTATTATAAAATCATTTTTTGTTGTTGTTGTATTTCATATATAATTATAGTTTTAGTACTAAAATGCATATTTTATGCAAAAATATTATTTCTAATTAGGAGTAATGGGAACCAAACAAACAAAACGCATTTTTTGGAATACTATAACTAAACAAGAACAGTGAATTTGTTTTTTCTTTCATTTTTTTTAAATAAATAGTAAAACAATTTAACATAGTTTTTTTTTTTTTTTTAATATGGAACATAAGAAATATATATGGGCAATAACATGGTTCAAACTTTCCAAATAATTTAATATTTAGTTTTTTTTATAAATTCATTTTATAATAATACTTTCTTGATATTCTTAATATGTGTTATTTTTATCATATCTTGAATTGTATAGCTGTGTGAATTTCTTTGGGGTAGGGGAGAATATTTATCCTATTTTTTTAATATTCTTCAATATTGAACGTTTGTTGTTTGTGTGTGTGTATGTTTTGCCATAGAAATGTGTCTCACGTGTAAATGTTTAACCATATTCCTTAATAATAATTCAATTTTCTAATGGGTATCTAAAATAAATAGCTTACTTATTGTATTTTATAGTTTCATGTTCTTAACTCTATACCGCATACATATTTTTGATAAAAACTCAAAGTATTTCAAATATACTTGCATTTATGTTTCCAACTTTTAAAATTGATATTACATGTTGATACAAATATATCAGGAATTCTTTGATTTGCGTCTCTCAAAAAATGTGCAGTGGTTCTTCAATTTGTTTATGCTTATATATAAATTCAAATCGTTCCATCCATTTTGTTTATATTAAAAACTACTTATATATCTAGAAAAATCAATTGAAAATAAAATATTAACATATTGTTATAAGCATAAAAAATTGTGCTTAAACAAAATTAAGAAATAAAATAAAAGCTGCTTTAAAGCATTTCAGTTAAACTGAAAATTTCATTACTTGACCATTGTTGTTTAGAGAATGCAATAATTTTTGCAAACAATAAGCTACATTAGATGTATTCGTATTGGGGCCAGTTCTTAAAAATGCCTGAAACTGGGTATGCAGGGCAATGCGCATAAGCAACAACAGCTTGGCATCGCCCGATGATAATTCAAATCGGATCCAATTATCCAATGATAAAATACTTTTACTATTGGCTTTACTCAGCGATATGTTTTCCATGGTCTTGGCCAATTTCAGTTGCAGTGCTTCGAAATCATTTGTAGGTACGGGGGGAGAATTTGATGTATTAAGGGATTTTTCAGAGGATTCCGAATCTGAGGCATTTGCATCATCACCTGCCGCCGCTGCGGCCTCATCATCTTCATAATCCCCATCGTCGTCGTCATCATCATCCCCATAGTCCTCCTCCTCACCATATACACCGCCAGCCATACTATTCAATACCTCACAATCACGACCACATTGTAGGGCAATCATCAATGCGGGAACAACGGTGTTCATATTAATCGTACACGTGTTGGAGATACGCGACTTCTCATAAAACACAATCCAATCGTGTGGCATTTGATTAATAAACTCCTTTAGATGTTTCTTGCCAGGCGGATTCAGGGCCGATGATCTTTGCAAAATCAATTGCTTCTCTGCTCCACATATTAATTTAAATTCTTTGCGATCGATTAATGCCACATTTGGATAAAAACCCGCCACCAAACACAATTGTATCATATGCCAATCGTTGTTAAACATTTTATCCATATAATTGATATTGAATTTATTCTTCATAACATCATTGATTTGTTTACGTGTGGCACAGAACATTTCCATGGCCGAATGTGAAAGGAAGTATTTATTACAGAATTCTCTCACCTTCCGCGGGTTGTGACGTATTTCCATATACGCCTTATACAAGGCCAATATACCCATTTGATCACTAAACGATTGCCCGGCAAATGATTTGCGTTGAAATGAAGCCTGGCCCTGGGCTGAACGATCTGTTGGCAATATAAATGGATCCTTGACGGAATGATAAGAACATATAGTCAGTATGGGATCGTAACATTTTAAAAACACCCCATAAAGCAAACATTTGCCCAATTGTACATCCAAAGGTATATCCACCAAATGTTTGCCTAATTCCGTTACCGATTCATCATCACGAAACACGCCTAGAATTTTTAATTTTCTCAAAGCATTTTGAATGCTGAAACTGGAAGGAGGATTTAGGGATTTCTGTAAATATTGTTGAACTTCACATTTCGGCTCTAAGGTTTTGGCATACAGACAAATCTCTGTCAACGGAATACGCATAAATTCGGGTATGCTAAATTGTGGCATAAATTGATATTTTGCCGTGGAATATAAACGGTAGCATACACCATTTTGTGTGCGTCCAGCACGGCCAGATCTTTGACAGGCATCAGCTTGTGATATCCATATAGATTGCAGTTGTGATGACTCCGTTATGGAATCATAGGTATTCATTTTCACTTTACCCGAATCAATAATGTAGGCCAAATCGGGTATTGTAATTGATGTCTGGCCAATATTTGTAGAAAGTATAATTTTACGTACAGGATGTTGTTGCAAAGCCTCAAATTGATCCTTTGAATCCATTTGTCCATGCAGTATACACAATTTATAAGTACCTCCGGGTAATGTGCTCTGTATTAAATTTCTCTGTTGCACTATGTCATTGTAGCCGGGCAAGAATACCATAATTGCACCCGGATGGGCATTACGATAGAGGCCCTCAAGTAGCGATAATATTAAATCATGATCGACTTCATTGTCATCATTAAATTGTTGTTGATATGCCAACAATACTTTCTGCTTTTCTTTATCCTGTTGACTCAACTCCTCCTGTTGTTTCATACTGTTCATACATTGTGAGGCATTCATGATAATCTGTAAACACAAACCATCCTGATGCAGTCGGGCATAATCAATTGCCTCATAACCATCATTATCACGTATCAACACATTAGCTTGTCGTCGTACGGCGAATTGTACAAAATCCGGCATATTACATTTACAACCAGCCATTAATGGTGTTATACCACTTTCCGAGTGTCCTGCATTTATGGACATACCCTCACTTTCAATATAATATTGGATTTGATCGAACATTTCATGTAATTCCTCGCGTGATTTCATTTCGAAGCTATCACAACACTGTTCAATTAACGTGTCCAGTACTTGCTGTAAATATTCATCTTCCAAACGTTCGGCTGTATTACGACGTCCCGATTCTAAAATGTTATCATCAAACATAGTTACCGGCATTTGGAAATTGTCATTCATGGAACGTAGATATTTTTCCATTAGAGCTGTCCGGTAACCCGTATGATAGAGTATATCCTCCAAATGATAGATTTTTACATCATAACCCTGACCGGGTACATTTAATACTGGACAATTATCAAAATATTTCGATAATAATTGAATATCCATGGTGGCAGACATGAGAATAACTTTGAGATCTTTATTCAATTTCAGTTGTTCTTTGACGGTGATCAGGGTAAAATCGGTATTTTTATCACGTTCATGTATTTCATCGATTATCAAATGTGTCACCTTGCGGAATAGATCACGAACATCCGACATTAAGGAGCGTAGAAAACAACCAGATGTAGTGTAGATTAAATTGGATGTCTTTTTAACACGACCTGTAAAGAAATGGAAGATATGAGATGTGTAAGAGCTGGTATCCAAGTAAATTATATGAATTATATTTTTTTACTTACTTTCCATACGTATTTGATAACCAACTGTTTCTCCCAGTGGTTCTCCTCTTTCTTCAGCCACACGATGGGCCACAGAAACGGCAGCAACTCTTCTAGGTTGTGTAACAACAATGCGACAAGGCCTATTACGTCTTGTCGCATCATTCAAAATGTATTGGGGAACTTGTGTTGTCTTTCCCGAACCTGTTTCACCATTTATAATAAAGACCTGAAATTGAAAATAAATAATTAAAATACCATTTTATTGCCAAAAAAATATTAATACTACTGAAAATGATTACAAAAGTATTGCTTTTATAGATAACCTTTATGACCCTTTTTTGAAAGTAGTGATGTTTTTAGAAGATGGACAAAAAGACTCGTGTCTTTAAAGACCTAAATATGATCTTCTGTCTCTCAAGAAGACTTCCAAGAGTAGCCTCGTTCCCTATATATAGACTATAGTCTTTCGAAATCTTCTTTTGAAGGTACAAATTATTGATCACCTCTTGGCGTAAAAAACAATGGAGTTCGAGAGGTTTTTTGGTAAAGATTCCATTTTAAAAACTTAGATGATAGATCGTCATTAATTGTACGTCAATGTGGCTTTTTGGATTCTCAGATATAAAAATGTAAAAAAAAAATTTTGCTAGACTGAGGTCACCTAAAGGTGGCCTCATGTAATAAATCAAGTTCACTACTTTTTCCCTTAGAATCCTTGGATATTGGTGGCATTTCCGCTTCAAATTTAAAAATGGGGAAGTCTATTGCCCTTATTCGAAGACGAGGAGGAAATGAAGACGAGCGAACATAAACCAAAGTTATTCTAAAAACAAAACACTGTGAAGGAACGTCTTCCCTTTATTGGACTTTTTAGGTCTCGATGAAGAGATCTTACTTTGATTGTGGGACTTTCTGTGGTATATCTTTGAATAAGAAGACGTAAACCTTTATTCTGCCTATGTTTACTTACATTATGTTGCTTTAGCATTTGATGTAACTCCGCTTGATAATGATAGATCGGCAATTCCTGCTTATCCCGAAACAGCTCATTGCTAATACGTTGCGGCCGCGGCGGAACCATACGCGGACCCAACGCGACCGACAACGATTCACTGCGTATACCTTTGTGTCGATGTGCATTCGATTGCAGTAGAGCCTGATTGGCAACCAATTGTGATTGTATGGCCGGCATAAGACTCTGCAGCATAGTCCTTGTGGCCGGCGCTATATACAGTGGCTGAGAATTACCCAGCGTCACCAGTCGTTTACGTTTGCTTATGTGCAGTTCACGATTGTTCTTTGAACCATAACTCTTGCTCTTTAGACCTCTCTGTGCGGCATATTGATGTAAATATTTCCGATGTAAATTACTCAGGCCCTTTAGCACAATTTCATCTTCACTGCTGGCAAGAAAATTGGATATTTTTGTCTGCAGCGGCAATCGATCGCTTTCGGGTATATTGACTCGTTCAATTTTACCATTGTTACGATTTCCGGTGTTAGGATTTGCAGAATTGGAATTAGAACCGGCTGGCTTTTGACGACGTCTTCGGTTAGTATTTGTTGACATTTTGTTGTGAGGAGAAAATAAATCGCTTTTAAACAGAACGCAACATGCAAAAGTTGTTAATATTTCACTTGCAAATGTTGCGGAACAATACGTGAAAACGTTTTCAATGATATACCACGCTGGAAAACAATTGTTGTTGTTAATAATTTGACAAAATTTTCTATTATTTTAGAAAATTTTATTGAGTTTAGTCGTCCGAAACTAATTAGTTCAAATGCACTGTTCACATATAACAACGACGGAACTAGTTGCATGTCTGCATCGTTCACTGAGATGTCATATGCACTAGTTCCCGTTGATCCTCTATTCATTTCATCTAATGTCGTTCAAAGTTTTGGTTAGGGATTGCAAAATGAAACAGCATTTACACTGAACGTGTTTTATTTTATATCGTGGCGATTTCTATTAACACTAGATTGTAAAAGGCGATCATCTTGACCGTTTTTCATGGTAGATCGTAGCTACCATGGTACAATAATACAAGGTAGGGCAGCTTGAGGTGAATAACAAAAAAACAACTATGATGAAAGATTATGATTTCTTCCCAAAATCCTGTAGGGAATACCATTAAATGTTTGTTTCATCCATAACAAAGTAATTACTTCCAGACCAACGTGTTAAAACATCATTTTTATTTCAATTAATTTTGAATATATTTCAATTTGTTTTGTATTTATTTGACATTGTATTCAAAACAATACACACACATACACAAAATATGTATTTTGTTTTCGAATGGTTACGTCAAAATTTAGGCTCTCACAACATAAAAATATAACCGTGTGTGATAATCTTCTATAAACAATTCATCTGTTCCCGTACTGCAAGAATATACCAGATTTTATTTTTTCTCGATAACATAAAGGAAAATTAGTAGTAAAAATAGTAGATTCTTGCAGTACAGGAAGAGGCATGGTATAATTATTACAAGGTAGGGCACAGCTACCAATTGATTACAATTTTTTCTCAAGGTGGCTTGTTCCATCAAATCAAAATACATATTTTGTGTATGTGTGTGTGTATTGTTTAGAATACTTTGTCAAATAAATTCAAAACAAAAAGAAATATATTCAAATTTAATTGGAATAAAAATTATGTTTTTAACGCGTTCGTCTGGAAGAAATTACTTTATTATGGGGGAAACAAACATTTGATGGTATTCCCCACTTGATTTTGGGAAGAAATCATAACCTTTCATTCATGTGTTGAAAATATGTCAAATAAACACAAACACTTGTATATATATTTATTTTTTTTTGAAAAATGACCACACGTGCATAGTTGATTTTTTGTTATTCACCTCAAGCTGCCCTACTTTGTATTATTGTACCTTGGGAAGAGGCCAGATTTCAATTTGTTTATTAACGGTAAAAATCAAAAATTGTTTGGCATTTATGAACAAAAAATGCAAACAATTGTAACCATTTTTTAATAGATTTTAGTTCCGTTCCAGCACCTAAAAGAATCTACTAATTTTATAAGTTTTGTCCGGGTAAAAATGGTAAGCAGGAATGCCAACTTCTGATTGGCTGTTGTGTTGATTTTGAAGTATTGCCACCTAATATTAACATATTTACTAGATTTCCGTTCCCGAACTTTTCAAATTATTTTATACTCTGAGAGCGAGATTGACATTTTTCCCTTTTACTAGTTTTACTATTAAAAAGTGCTGAAACAGACCAGTTATCTGTTTACTTGAAAGTCAAGTAAAAGAGATCAAAAAGAGAGAGCTAGTTTGACAGTTATACACTGAGAACTTACTAAATGATACTGGGAATAAATTTATTCCAAGATTTATCCAGCACAATTCAATATATTTCAACCAGACGTTAATATTATTCCTCAATAAGTCTAAAAGAATATTTCACGTATTTGAAATGGAATAACGAACTATTTTGCAAAATCTTACTGGATGTTGTCTCTTTACGTTTCACAGTATTATCCAGAAGAGAATGCAAACTGCTTACTCTCAGAAATAGATCTTACTAAGTAAGTGGAACTTCCTAAGTAAAAGTATACCTGACACAGTTAATAAGTGTGTACTTCAGATCGCCAATGAAAGACCTTCTTTAAACTAGTTGGAGGAGCCGTAAAATACAAAACAAAACGGCCTTCCAACCTGGAGGAAAGAACCCCTCAATGGATTTAAAATTCAAGCTCATAACTTTATCATTTATGGACCGATGAAAGTAATATGGGTATGGTTGTAAAGCGATCATGGTATACTTTCATATTCAATTCCTCAGATCGCCAATGAAAGACCTTCTTTAAACTAGTTGGAGGAGCCGTAAAATACAAAACAAAACGGCCTTCCAACCTGGAGGAAAGAACCCCTCAATGGATTTAAAATTCAAGCTCATAACTTTATCATTTATGGACCGATGAAAGTAATATGGGTATGGTTGTAAAGCGATCATGGTATACTTTCATATTCAATTCTCCTATGGACTTTCTTATTTAAAAATATTTCACAAATAGTCGGCCTTCGGTCGGAGTTGAAGGGAATCTGGGCAAGGAGAAAGGAAGTGCAATGTCGGTCACTTAATTAGCACTCACCTGAAGGGAAGTGTTTTGATTAACACTCGATTAGTATATTTTTAAATAATTTTTAGTCAAAACGCTTATATGTACTACACTTAACTGGTCAAATAACTCTTTATCCGTGACCTTTTAGATATTTCTTCGATAAAATCTGTTTTGTTCTACTCAAACAACTGATTTGATATTACAGATGTTTGTTTTTATAAATATTTATTCCAGCTGACTTTCCTAAGTTTAGGTTTACTGAACAAATTGCTGCTGATCGTTTCTAATTACGAAAAAGTATCTATTTACTTTATTTCATTATTCTAATTTGTATAAAAATGAAATTATCTAAATTACAAATATAGCACAATTATTTCTCATCGCTAGAATAATCATCTTCATCGTCGTCATCATCATCACCGTAATCATCACTGCTGTAGTCCTCCTCATCGGAATCGAAATCAAATTCATGATCATCATTGTCTTTAAGTTTAAGTTGTTCGATTTTCTGCAGCAGTTCATCCCTAGTATGAGGTATTCTTGGTTTAGCTTTAGGTTTCGTCTCCTCATCACCATTTTCATCCTGACCATTCTCTTCAGCTTCCTTATTATTTTGATTGTCCTCCTCACCCTCTTCGAGTGGTTCTTTTTTACCCTTCTCCATATAACGCAAGAATGCTCGCCGTTTTCGTTCCGGAAATGATTTAATTAGACGTTCCATTTCCACCTTCAATTTGAGTTCCTCCTCAGGTGTTGGTTGTGGTGGTTCAATCTCAACTTCTTCGGCACTCTTTAGGCATTTTGCACAGACTTTCGCGTCCAGAGCACAGTCACGACACAGTACATGATAGGCCTTACGAATTTTTTTCTGCTGACATTTTGTACATGTCTTGGGTTGAGTTAAGGGCTTATATTTCTTATATTTTATCTTCCATTCGATAACACCTTTACAATGCTGGCATACTTCGGAGATGTGCAGGGAATTGAGACGTTTCTGTAGCGGTGTTTTGTCGTGCAAATCATTTTTAAATACTGTACGATTTTTATGTTTCTGTGCACGGGTACGTGATGCATTGCCACGTTGGGTACTCATGGTGGGAGTAGAGTTGCACGTTTTTTATTACAAATATTTATAAATTAAATATTTTTGTGAATAGACTACTAAAAAGAAAAAACGTGTTGCTTTTAATCACAACGTGTTTTCAATTAAAAACGTTCCACTTGCTACGAATAGGAGGAGAGGTGAGAAAGTCTAATAAAAATTATTTGAAAGCAAAGTGGTGGAGCAATACCATTGTTTACGAATGGGGTGTGATACACATGGTAGAATAAATGTTTAGAAGGAGGCATGAGGGAATATACAGTAAGGGATCTAGATTAACGAACTGCTGATTTTAATATTAGTCCGTTAAAAATGATAATCGATATTGGAAGTATGTGGATGATAGAATTAATGAAAACAATATAATTATATAATCTGTAAAGAAATTATTGTCATGATGATTGCCTATTTTCTAATGCTTTATATAAACTATTCACTTAAGTAATATAAATAAATAATAACGTAATAATTCCCTTTGAGAAAAGGAATGAGAAAGATATATTCTCAAATCCTTTTTCAACGACGTTAAACTATATTTTTAATCAATCCAATTTCTAATTGAACATATCCGATAAAACTAATATCTTTACCGCCGTTAAATAATTATAAACGCCCTCAAGAGTCTTTCATGCATTCGCCTTAAGATATGCAACATAATTTAAAAATAACTTGGAGAGAATAGTGTAAAAACGACCGAAATCTGTTTATGTTTTAAACTAACAATTGGCGCAATTTCTTGTTGATTTCTTATTGTTTCAGTTAAAGAAATAAAATAATTGTTAATAAATATTTAATTCTAACAATAATAAATTATAATATAATATTAATTAAATAAAATAACTCAGTCAGGTATAGCGAAATGCTAACAAAAGTGATATTGGTAAGCCTAACACATCACATCTATTACTCAGATACTTGTAGACAGAGGTTAGCGGTCAGCTCCGTATTTGGAGGTGCGATAGATATTAGAAAACGTTATTCCTGCCTTTCATTGCTGATAGTCGTGGCAAGTATGTGCGGAAAGCTTTATATGCTATTGAATGTAGAATTTGCATTTTTTGATCATTATTAACCAAAAAGAGTTGCCGACTATAGATTTCCTTCCTCCTGAATTTAGTAGTATTATTAAGAGCTGAGTCATACGTGGGTCATACTATCGAATGATATCTCCAAAAGTTTAGGCAATTGATTTTCGGAGTAATGTACAAATTGACCTGGGAAAAACTTTTAATTTTATCGGTCATAGCAGTGGCATTCGCGATTGATTTCTATACACAATCGAATGTTAGTAAATTTAGATGCTATACATATGTCAAATAAGGTGGGTCAAGGTGAAACATGCTCTTTAGATGATGACGCACAGTACCCGATGATAATGATAAGCCTGACTCTCATAACACTACGGTATGAATATAGAGTATAAAACGCAGTACTTTTTCTTCTGCACTGTCGGTTGAAGTTTTTCAAGATCCACTTAGGGGCCGATTTTGTGAGTTCATTGTTGTTGTTGTAGCAACTATCTACATAATTGTGGTATTTTCTTTCATCCAATTATAACTCATCTGTTTCCACGTTAAAAAAGGTTGCAAATTTGATCGGGTACAAATAAATTCCGCAGACAGAGGAGCTGGTTTAGTTGGGCAGTTAGATAGTTGCAGCGTATCGTGAGGTGTCGAACTGACAATTTCTGTCCAATACAAGTTGTGGCAGCTGAACCATCCTGATCTTAATTGGGCTAAAACCACTCTCGTTTGCCTGGACAGCTTTCGTTCTTCTGCTGCAACATGTTATGGCTAGACTTCAAGAACTGCGTTTATGTGGTATTTGTCCACAGCCTGGGCCACTGCTTTCGTGTGAATGCTATTAGATTGGCCTTTTGGTCTAGGGTTTCTATCTTCTCTCTAGGGTTTCTCTCATATACCTCTTTCTATATCGTGTAGGTTTCTCCTTAAGTGCATACCACCCATATGGTGATGATGTAGATGATTACGGCGATATCACCTGAGCAGATATGGCATCAATAACGATGATCGGGTAAGACCATTGCCTCCTCATGTAAATGGTCCACTGGAGTCATGAGGAGGAACACTGTCGCAGTTTTCAAGACGACATTCTGAAAGGTTTGAATATTCTTGCACTACGTTTCGATTACATCTGCACCGCAAAGCTTACCATCGACCGTCCTTTTTCTTTGTATGAGGTCAACAAGGTTCCCTTATCAGCACTCCAAGAGCAAGCGAATTGAGGTCCTTTTTTCTGCTGTTCATCTTATTGTAAATAGCGGTAATAAGTTATCAAAAGTTACCCCCAAAATGTTGGGGTAGTTTGGGTATATTGCGTCGACATTTAAAAAATCCTTCAGAAATTGTCAGAAATATGACACCGATTTTATATTTCCTTAGCTACAAAATAGACAACAGTTTCGGAAAAAACCTCTCCTAGCACCAAGCGTTTTGGACATTTCCGGCCAAATTTGGTCCGAAGTTATTAGCATGAAAACCATGACATGCATGAAAGTGTACTGAAACCTTTTCATGTTACTAAGAGGTCCTCTCCAATTTTCAATGTTGGTCCGAAAATCTGATTTTTACGTAAATATTTTACGAAATTTCTTTTTCGAACAGCAACACTGCCTAGAGCCACAAATATCTTTCCACTGAACATTTTTTGGGATCTGAAAACCAAAAAGACGTTTGGGCCAGAACAACAAACTTGTAAATGAATCTCGTGACGATGAAGACCAAATTTACTTTAAGGACCTTTAAATTTTGGTCATTATAGTCGGCGTAAGCGGTACCAAATAAAGGGTATAATGATTTTCGGAACTTTTGGATATCGCTGTTGTTACCTATATGTCTTACAAATCAGATGGGACTTGAATTCACTTTGATAAGCAAACATTTATTTAACATATTTTTTTAATTCTTGAAACTAATTTTATTTCTTTCTTATTGCAGATAACAACAACTTCATATTCATGATCCCTCCATAATATTTTTACCAACCTGTAAATAAAAACAACATAAACAGAAAAAAATGCGTGACCTTAAACAGTGTTTAATGGATCTGTTGCGTTCCGGTGGCATTGCCATGGGTGATAGTCAACAGAATCTAAACTCAACAAATACTACCTCAAAATTAACAAATAAACAGCTGCAACAACAGCATCTACACAATAAACCAAAGAAATTACACGAATATACGGCGGCAGATTGTAATAAGGCATTCCAGCGTAAATTTTATGATGTTGGTGGCCAGGGATATCCTCATAATGGCGCCAGTGAAGTTATTTATTTTAATGAAAATCTCACCATGACTAGTAAATATAATATGGCAAGATATCCATTAAATCGTTATCCCTCATGTCCGCTCAGTACCTATGGCAATAGTGATGATAGTATTTCACCACCAAGTTCACGTTCCGAAAATCATAATACGGATGACAGCGAAGAAATTAGCCGTCATTTTGACTACTTGTCATCATCGGAAGATGATCGAGCTACTTTAGTGGATTGTTTTCATCGTTCAAATATGCCGCACCATCCAATGGGTTTTGATCATGATAGTGTCGACAGCGGAGCTGATGCTGAAGAACAATTGGATTCATTTTGTACACTGTGCACCTCAAGTTTTAGTTATAACAAATGTTGTCGTTACTGTGATAATTCACGTTGTGGTTCACAATGTAATTCGGAGCATACTGGTAGTTTGCGTCAAGTTCAAAGGAATCAACCACTAATGGTGGCTAAAAGGTAAGTGCAAAGTAATCTCTATATAGTGTTTTAAAGTTGATTTTCTTTATGGAACATAAGTTTATTTCTTACATATTGAATTAAACTAAAACAATGTTTGGTTTTTTGAGGAGGATTTTTAGTTTAGTTTTGTTTCATTTACATTATTTCATAAATATTTCTCTTTTTTCTTTGTTTGTTTGGTTGTATACATGGTATATGTAAATATTCTTAAAAAACAATCAACAAAATAATGCCTATTTATTTCAATTATTGCAAATTAAGAATAGAGTTTAGGTGTAAGCTGCATTCTACATTTTATGTTGTTCACGTTGCAGACGATTGCCATAGGCGCGAGATACCAAATTCCATGAGTCCATAAACCGATCCATACACATGGAAATGCATTTCTGGAAGAAAGGGAAAACAATACAAATGATTAGATAAATTATTTAATATACAAATATAAAAACGGGCTTGGAATAAATGTAAGACTTATTGAAAATTGTGGTTAAACATTTAAAATATTTGGAAAGGAACGTTACAGGTTTATTTAGGGATAATATGAAGTCGTAATATCATGTCCCCGTAATGATTGACACTTTTTTGAAAATATTTTTTTTTAATGAAAGGCTGTGGAGGGTCCCATATTGAATTCCATTTGCAACACCTTGAAATATTTACCGAAGACTCCATAACGTATATATATCCTGATATGAATAAAATTTTATGTCAATTTAGCCCATCTGTTGAAATCAGGTCTAGCAAGAAAAATCGTTATTTTTAGGGATGTTTCTCTACATAATTGTCTGTAATTTCGTATGTTGGATTCTCACTGAGTAGAAAAACTTCTTACTTTGGTCCACTTTTTAGGATAGCCCCCATCATATAACGGTACCCCCATTATTTTTAAGCTTTTGATTAGGTTTTTCAACTGAATTGGTTCTAGATATATATTTGGGATTTTCAAACAGTAGAACATCTTCCTACCAAAAATGATCAATAGTTGCCCACGACTAAAAGTAATATAAATGGGTCCACTTCGTAGGGTAGAACAAATATTCCCTATTTTGAGGTTTTTGTTCACGGGTTTCTACTGAATTGGTTCTAGATTGATATTAGGGATTCTCATTGAGTAGAAAATCTCCCTGTCAAAACTTATCAATATTGGCCCATGTTTCGGGGCAACCCTCATATAACGATACCTCCAACATTAAGTAGTTTGAACCGTTTTGGCATGATTTTTTTCAATCTAATCAGCTGTTATTTGCTAATTTGGGTTTTCACTGGGTAGAACATATATTGGTTCCAGTTTAGCGTTAGCCCCATATTTTGGGGTTTTGAACATGTTTTTCATACAAATTCGCCTTAATTAGATTCAGGTTTGCTTGGGTGTCAAATCTTCCTAAAAAATATCAGTATCCTATTTTCAGTATTATGAGGGTTTTAGTTGCAATTTCTAACTGTAACGTGGCTGTGCATTTCGTGATATTTTGCGAAAATTGTTTATCCATTTCCAAGTCCAAGTATAGCCCCCACCTTTGCAGTATTATTAAGTTTTTCACCGAATGTTCTCATCGAAGTGCCTATAATTTGGCATATCCGATTTATGGTGGGTAAATGTTTTGAAATAGATCCCATACAAATGCTCAAATGCAGTTTTCCAACTTGAGTGTCTGCAATTTAGATTATTTTCTCGACCGCTTTAAGGACTATTGAATGCACACCACGCGATGGAGTATATGGGAAGATATTAATTGTATTAACTGAGATGGGTTTAATTTGGTATTTTGAGTCCTCATCGGGCGGAAAACTAAAAATAAAAGTCGATCTATATGTTTAGCCCCTTTTATAGCTATTTTCTAATATACATTTCCAGCTAAGTTGTAGCGAAGTACTTTTAATTTAGAATTTTTAATGGGTAAATAACCTTCTTCCTCTTAAAAAGTTCGCGTATTTCGATATGAAAGCCCCATATTTCATCCTTAAGGTTTGTCGTTTGCTATTTCCTTTTCTCTTGGCAGCAATTGACTATGGTACAGATCCATATAAATGTCTTTTGGATCTTTCCTTTTAAGATATTTTGTCTTTTGGCTGATGTTGTATCTGTTTCAACATTCTGATCCATATCCCAACACCATCTAAGACCAAAAATCCATTGGTATCCCTAATAAATGAATTTTTAGATTCATTGTGGACGCTTAATGTCTATGGATAAACTGCTAAATAATCCTCACTATATATTAAAGGCTTTATTCTTTCCCAAAATAAGACCACCTTCCATGCTCAACAAAAACAAAGCATTATCCTGCAACTATATTTTAGTAATCAAATAGTACTCACCTGTTCCGATGAATCCAATGAGGTGCCGGGTTTATTTATGCACTTGTTAAAGCATTTTTCCGTCATTTTCTGTAAAGGCAACAACAACCACATTACATTATTTACAAAAATTTACAATTTTCTAAAAACATTTTGCTATTTTTCATTCATAAATTTCCCTCTTTTTTCAGTTAATTTTTTCTGATTAGGTAATACAGCCACTATTGTGATGGTGGTGTGGGGCAATATCCATTCAACCTACCGTCAATAGCTCTTGGGCATTAGCTACGGCAATTTGTTGTTTAACTTGTTCCATTAATTCGCCTTTATCGACATTGGACAAATTTGATAGACCGGACATGTTGATTTATGTTTTTTCTGGCTTCTTCTAAATGAACAACAAACGGCGGTGTCAAATATTAATAAAATTTACAGCAAAAGAAAAGAATTACTGCTGCTGCCTGTCAAATGAAATGTTTTTTGTCTTTACTTCAAAATAACATGTGTAAGTGGTGTAATAACGGCCTCGGTTGTGAAATGTCATTTGTGGTGAATAACAAAGGCGCATAGTTGTGTTTAGTGGTACATTGAGGAGAAATGAGAGTTGATTAAAGGGGTGCTACTTTATGAAGGCGTATGTAAAAAAAATAGAAATGGAGTAAAAATTAAAAGAAATATTTGGCCTGTTCCAGAACATGCAAGAAGTTACCATTTTTTACTACGATAACATATTTTCCTTTATGGTATCGAACAAAATAGTTAAAATTAGTAGATTCTTGCAGTACAGGAACAGACCAAATGTCAGAAAATATGTAAAAAGGAACGTACATTTACATTTTATTATGCCCTGCTTTTCGACATCAACGATATAACATATATGTTAATGTTAATTAACAAAATTTAATATTAGCAATAAAACGTCGTTTAGGTCACCTTGAGGTGGAAATTAAAATGAATAAATTTGATCGATTTTTATTTATTTTGAGATATTGTTTTTATACCCTTTCAGCGATTGTTCCATTGTAGAGAGTCTAATGTTAGTAGCTTTGGCTTTGAAGCTGGGCAGAGGCTATAGTTAAAAGCTTCGGCTATAAACCTTACCGAAGGTTTCGGTTACACGGAAGCTTAGGGCCCCTATATCTGTGGATCTAGCTTGGCAGTTGGTATTGGTCCTTCGTGGAGCATAGTGCCGGAGGTGGTTTATACCCAAATCGTGGGTAGAGTTCTGGCTCAATTTGGAGTTGCATTATAACCGGGTGCGTGACCCATAGAAAGGCAGGAGAGATGATTTCCTCCACATACGTGTGATCGATTGGTACCTGAATTTTGGTGTGGGGCATTGGTTGACTCTTTGTGTTTACTGCTGTTTACAGGATCGTTGGGTAGGTACCCACGTACTGTAAGCATCTCTGCACCATCCTGATCATAATTGGGCAAAAATCACTTCCGATTGCCAAGGAAGCTGTCGTTCTACTGCTACAAGTGGTGGCTGGACTCTAATAACTGCATTCACATACTACTTGTCCATAGCCTGGATCGCTTATTCCGTTTGAACGTTATTCATTCCTGTTGATTGTGTTGGTGGACTGCTATGAACTATATTTCTCATGAAGATAGGCCTTCAGTTCTCAAGCTCTCAAGTTATGAATATTCTTCCACTGTGTATCACTTATGTTCGCCAATCACATTGGTACCGTATTTCTTACTGCTGGCCAAAGTGCTCTGTCTTGACACTGATACGTCGGTTGTACACCTCTGTAGATAGAGTAGGTTTATCCTTAGGTGCCTTAACCGGGGAAGCCAATCCATAAGGTTATGTCAGGGCTGTTTTCTACGATAACACCCAAGAACACTACATTGAAAACATTTATTTACGCCTATGAAAAATGCGATATTGATCTCCACACGAAGATGGTCCACTGGTATCATGTTGAAGTTCTCATGTCGATATTCTGGCAGGTCTGAATATCCCACCACTGTGTATTAATTATATTTGCAAACCACACTGGCACCGAATAGTTTAAAACTGACCGGCCTATTGTTTTATATGATATCAAGAAAGTTTCCTTATCAGTGCTCTAACTGCTCCCGGCCAGCGACTTGAGGACCTTCTTCCTACTTGACCTGCCTAATATATCGGTTTATCTAGAGGACCAAGCTTGTATTTTTGCACCTCTCTCTCTAGACCATGAAGAAGATGCCCTTGTCAGCGCCGGTCAGTGACTTGCACTTCTTATCACAAATAGAGGGTCGGACAGACAATTTGAAAGGGCTATCGAACATTAACCCAATATCTTGTGGCAATTGGTGGTCAAAATCTGTCCTCCAACGATCATCGAATAGGAATATGTTCAATATTCCTCAGATGGAAAGTTATGCCTCTCACCAATGTCATTAATAATGGGACCCCACGCCATGATCTTACAATTATCCTCATTAAGATCTCTATCCCGTCCGGTTATTGTGGAATACCAGAAATATAAATTTTGAACAGTTCCGAACAAGTAAGGCCACCTAGAATAAATCCCTATTTCACTATAAGGGTCTTGAAATTCCGGATTCTAAATTCCATCTTCTCTCGTAAGGCCACCTCGAATAAATCCCTATTTCACTATAAGGGCCTTGAAATTCCGGATTCTAAATTCCATCTTCTCTCGTTCTCGAACAGTTTTGCATGGTTGACGGAATTGAAGGCATTCGATCTATTCATGTATACCCTCCAAATAAGGACGTTAATATAAATATTTCTTCATGGATATTAATTCTTAAATTAGAAATGGGTATGTATACGTAAACAAATACCAGCTGACTGGTTTTACATCAAAGCTAACTTTTATTACTTCGATTTAGAAGACATACTTTAAACGCACCTTTATTAAAAATTGCATAAAAATGTAAGACATAGTAAGCAACCATTAAATATTTGATTAAAACAAGATGACACCCATTCCAGTCATCATTAAAAATTAAAAACAACCATTCAAATAAACTAGTAATGTGAAAAACTCAACATTATCCAAATCACCTTTTTAAAAAGTCATCAAATCAACCTGTTTTATTTTTGTGGTATTCACATCTAATATTATTATGGTCAGTATTAAAGGATATCAATTAATTACCTGCCATCAGACTCTATAGTTTTGTTGTTGATGTTCGCTTTGGGATTTTGCCCCCCATCAAAGTCCTAATGTAATGTTTAACAAATCTATTTTGGCGTTAATGTTTCATTTCAGCCAAGGGAAGAAAACAACAAAAATTGTTTACGCATTCCACAACATTACAATTTCACTTGCTAAGCGTTTAACCTGTTTTGTATGCAATGACATTTTGCGGTGTTTAGAGCAATGCATTTTTGTTTTCTCATTTTGTGTGCATTGAACAAAAAACAACTTTAACCGCTATGTATCTTACTAGGAGGTGTGTTACTTAGCCATTACGTATTGCCCGGTGTTGATTGTAAAATATAGTCAAAAATAATGTTTAAGCAAATATTGTTTTTTTTATTTGTTTGTGCTTCCCTCCTTAAGCCTTGCCACGAGGTTACTCTGTCTGTAGTAAGTAGCTAAGTTGCCTTGTTACTTCGCGTAACACGTTTAGATAAGCAGTATCGATCAATTTTACAGCGTTTAATATGTGGGCTATTTCACGATTGTTTAAGTTTGGGAGTTAATTGTAATTGCGATAGGAATTCCCATTATAATTATGAAAATATTGACCAGCTACATACTAATGAATAACGTAAACAAATATCAACTGTCTTTTTTTACTTTAATACCAGTGTAAATAGCTAGGATTTAGTAGCTCGGTTTATTTTGTACAAAATTAAATCAACTCAGTATCTCGATTTGCTCGTAGTCTTAGGCTATGTCAAGATAATTTTTACTCAGCTTTCGCTCCAAAATGACAAAAAATAAAAATATTAAATGAGTTTAGACTATGCCTTGTTAATCGACACAATTTCTAAATAGAAGTTCCAAACCACTCATGCGATGGCTAAACATGTATTCATTTTTTTATTATTATCGCTCTCAATATTATTTCTTTTTGTTTTTTTATTATTTATTTAATTTTTTTATAAAAATATTTTTTTTTTCATTTTTCATCAGTTTTTATTTTTTATATTAAATTAATGTTATTCTTATTTCTTATAAATTTATTTATTTTTATTTTTTTTTAATTTTTCATATAAAAATTACTTTTAATATTATTTTCTATTTGATTTAATTTCTATATATATTTCAAATTCCATAGAATTTAATTTTTTCCACTTATTCGACAATTTTCTACACTTGTTGTTTAACTCCCCATTAAATCCAAGCATTTCTTACTGTTATTCTACAATTCCAATTGGATTCTCTTTACATTGCTCTCAATATGAATTTCCTACTGCAACTGCATTGATGTAAACAACAAATTTCGTGTCTTAAGTCTTCAAAGACAAGGAAATACCAGACAGAGAGGGAGAGAGATAGAGAGCGACAGAGAGAGTGTGATCTATGTATTTCTTACTGTTATTCTACAACAGGCACGGGCAGAGCCTAAACAAGTGAAAAAGCGTTAAGTTCAGCCGGGCCGAACTTTGGATACCATCCACCATAGGTATATTGACTGATACTAGCACCGAAAATATATCGTACATACCCAAAAGTGGACCTATACCGAAAATACACCAAATACAAATTTCAGCACTTTTTACGTTGGACTATAGTTCAACGTTCTCCATATCCTCCGTGAAATAATTAAAACAGAGTCTTAAAACCAAACCCAAAACGCGGAACAAATCAGATAACTATTTTGATGTAAAAAAGGGTGTTATATGTGGACTACCCCTAAAAGGGGGTGAATTTTAATAATTTTTGGTAGGGAGATCTGTTACCATATACGACTACAAAATTTCAGTGAACTCGGTTGAAAACGCGCTCAAGAACCTCAAAATACCGAAATTTTTGGGTACCCTTATATGGGGGCAACCAAAAAAAGTGGACTTATATTTATAATTTTTAGTGGAAATATTTGGTACCCAATAAAAACCCAATGTACCAAATTTCAGCGAATTCGGTTGAAAACGCGCTCAAAAACCCCAAAATACCGAAATTTGGGGGGTACCCTTGTATGGGAGCTACCAGAAAAAATGGACTCACATTCATAATTTTTAGTGGAGGTATTTGGTACCCAATAAGAACCCAATATACCAAATTTTAGCGAATTCAGTTGAAAAACGAGCTCAAGAACCCCAAAATATCGAAATTTTGGGGGTACCCTTATATGGGGGCTACCGGAAAAAATTGACTTATATTTATAATTTTGAGTGGATATATTTGGTACCTAATAAAAACCCAATGTACCAAATTTCAGCGAATTCGGTTGAAAAACGCACTCAAGAACCCCAAAATATCGAA